AATTTTGAATGCCTGACTTAGCAAGCCTTATAACACAGAATAAGGCAATGATTGGAACGATCACACTCTTGGGATGTTGCTTTAGCCAGACAGCCGGGAGCTGTCTTCAGAAGCAGCCGGAGAGAAATGGCCCTGTCTTTTCAGATGATCCTAGTGTTGGTGCAGACGGTGCTACTGGAGAGGACAAACTCCTCCAGTCCGATTGCGTGGTCGCTGTGGTCAAAGTTTTATAAATGAATGTCTGTGTACCCTTTAAAAAGATTTTTTAAAATCTTTATCGTGTTCCCTGCACTGTAGAGAAAATACTTGCTTTTATCTTTCTGGCAATAAACCAGTTTCCAGTCTCTAAATGGGGAAAGTAGAGACATGCAGAGGGGAGGAAATGGTTAGGGTCCCCAAAACAGGGGGGTGACACCTGCTTACTTTTTCTTATCCTTGTCCTTCTTTGTTTGCTGGGCCCCGGACTGCTGGGCCTGAGACTGTAGTAACTGAGCTGCCGCCTGTTTCTTCTGGAAGTTGTTCACTTCCTCCTCCAGCTCTTTCTTCTTGTCTTCCACTTTCTTCTTCTCCTCCTGGTGTGTCCGCTTGAGGAGGTCAAACTTCTCATGCAGCTGAAGAGAAAGAGAAGACAGGCTTGGTGAAGGGCATGGGCATTTTCCCGAGGTAACGTTAACTTGGGTCTGTTAAAGATAAACCATGCCTCATACTGTTGTCTGGGCCTTGATGAGAGGCGTGAACTGTCGTCTGGGTCACTTATGGGAGGAGCTAGGCTAAGATGCTGAAGAACAATCCTTGGAGTTTCCTTTGAGATCTGGGCTCTTTGGGGCTGAGGGATTCCTTGCATGTATATATTTTTTTCTGATGATAAAGTACATACTAATTATTATCATTTTTTTTTCTTTCCCCCCTCCCTGGGTGAGTTAGTGCCCTGCTCCCCCAGTGCCAGACACTCATTGTTCAAAACATAAATAGGACAATAAAAGGTAACCTGAGTCATACTAAGAAATTCACCTGGGTGGTAAAGGTAGCTCTTTGCGTTGTCCTTTTTTGAAACGCATCAGATACATTCACTTGGAAACACCTCCAATGATCACACACACAGGGACACCTGGTTGTCATTAGTTGCCATGGAGTTCATGATGACCCTCCAACAACACAGTGAAACCCGGCCCAGGCCTGCGCCACCTTCCTGGCTGTGGGTGTGCTTGAGCCCCTGGCTGCAGCCACTCAGGATGGTATTTCCGATGTAGAGGCTTGTCTATTTTCCAGCACTACATCGAACCACTTTCTGTTGTGATCCTAAGGTTTTCATGGTTTCTTGCTTGTGTTTTCATTCTTCACAATGCTAGCACATTCTCATGATTTCTGTTCTCACTCTATTTCCTTAAATCTCGCTTCCCTGCCTCCTTAGACCGGCGTATTTCTTTTCAAGCAATTGCTGACTGTTTGGTCTCATACGGATACTTTTTAAAAGAGCAAAGCACTTATAGGTGAGATTCACTGTTCTATGGGTCAGTCTGTTATTTAGCTCCAACGTGACGTCAGGGGTGAGTTTGGGTTCGAGGTTTGGGGAGTATCTTGGGAAATCGTCTCAAGGAATCCTCCTTTCTCGAGTCCAGTAAGGTCTCTTTGTGCTTTGCTTTCATAGGAATTTGGAATCCTGTTCCACATTCTTCTCCATTTGCTCAGCTCCCATCACCGATGGTGGCCCCAGTGAGCATGGTCAGTAGTGTAGCCAGGCACCATCGAGGCCTTCGGTTCCCCAGGTAGAGGAGGCTGTGGTTTGTGTTTCCCACCCACTGTGCTGTTACTGCATCAATTGTGTGAACATTTATGACTCGTTTTTAACATCTGTAGAACAGGGATAACAATATTTGGCCCCTTTTCTTGCTAAGTTGGTCTACCACTCATGGAATATATATACATATATATATGTTGAAGTGCTCAAAGTATGCAGTACTATGAAGAATCCATGAAATCCTTGAAGTATCCATACAATCGATTGCCACTGAATTGATTCTGACACACGTGACGCTTGAGGACACAGTGGAACTACTCCTCTGGGTTTCTAAGGCTCCAAATCTCGACATGAGCAGGAAGCCTCTCTTTGTCCTGTGTGGAAGCTGGTGAGTTCCAACCGCTGCCCTTGCGGTCAAGCAGCTGAACATGTACCTAATCCATCACCAGGGCTCTGTGAAGTATTACCCAAATGCCTCCTTTAGGCTGTGCTTTTCTGGACGAGGAGAGAAGACTTACCTCTTTCTCTGCTTCTTTCAGTTCGGCTTCTTTCTCCTTCACTCTCATAACAAACATTTGTCTCATTTCTTCCTCTTTCTTCTGAAGTTCCCCCAGGAATTCATTCCTTTTTGCCTCGTATGTCTCCTGAAGACTATTTAAAAGATCAAACACAAGAACGTCATGATAAGAAATGCTGTCAGTTTATATAATTCCTACCTCATCGTAGTCCCAATGACTTACTCCATCACCAGAAAGTTGCACAGTGTCTTAAGTTATGCAGTGATGGCAGAGAAAAAGTGTATCAGAACCAGGGTTGCGTCAAAAACCAAACGCACGTTTCCTCGAGCTGCGCTTCCTCTGATGGGTATGCATTGAGAGATGTCTCCGGCTGAGCATACCTGGATCCTCCAGAGCCGACACAAGGCAGATGCCAAAGTCAGCTCGAGAATTTTAGGAAATGGGGAAAGCATGATGTAGGGGCAGGTGGGGATGGGGGGATGACTAGGTTATAGAATCAGGTAGATCAAGGTTTGAATTCTGACCAGATACTCATTTAATGAGTGATCAATTTGCTCGTGTGTGTGTGTGTGTGTGTGTGTGTGTGTGTGTATTGCTTGCCTGGTGAAAAAGTGAGTAAAGCCTTTGACATACAACCAGTGGTTAATCAATGTTACACTTGCTCCCTTTTAGCTCCCTGCAAGTCTCTGATTTGGAAATTACATTTGGTGAACAAATTAAAGAGCCAAGAGAATCTCAAAGGGTAGTGTCAGGAATTGCTACTTTTCAAGTGACATTTAAATAATCATTTATTAGGGGCTCATACAACTCATCACAATCTGTACATACGTCATTTGTGTCCAGTACTTTAGTACATATGTTGACTTCATCATTCTTACGACACCCACTTTCCACTTGAGCCCCTGGTGTCAGCTCATTTTCCCCCTTCCTTCCTGTTCCCCCCTCCCC